CTAATTCACCTAGATGCTCCTCTGCTGTGTTGACAGGGGGTGAGAACAGCTGCTCAACCAAGTTCTGTGATGAGACTGTGTCTGAAAGCAGCTTTGTGGTGCTTTGCAAAGTTGTAACTGCACCATAGCAATGCACAGCAATAATAACAGCAGTCACAAATGAGAGCTGGGGCTGCTTCCTTTGCCAGGGTGACTGAATGCTCAAGCCAGGAACATGAGAACTGGTGCCCCTATTGCCATTAGTTTGAAAGAGGGCCACTGCACATGATGTTCTGACCATGACACTTGTTTCCTGGGGTAATTTTTTTTGATCATTGCATATTTAAGTTATTCGCACCCGGTAAACAGGTGAAAAAACTCCTCTAGCTTAATTAATAGCAAAACTTTCTGATGGTATGAGAGGGTAGATAGTGCATTGTATAAGGCAAGAAAAGAATCCTTTCATCTGACTATAATCAAATTTCTCTGGGTATTTTAGTGCTAGTCATACTTCCGAAGAACATGGTGGGTAGAGGCTGAAAGTCAACCTTGTTCAAAGTGTTGTGTCATTCATACTCTCTTAATTAATAAAAAAATATTAGATACAACAATTAGAGATCTAATCAGCCTGTAGCCTAAGAACACTGAGCCGTAATTGCATAATTTGATAGAGGCGGTCCCTGAACAGAGGCTTGAAGTTGGTTTTGTCATTTGCGTTGAAAAGAGCTGCACAGAAAAATGTTGAGATGAAAACCCCCAAGTTGACAAAGTTTTGGGTTGTAGACTTTTTTTAAGTTCAGCTAAGTGGAATCTTTCTCTGAAAAGCAGACATCTGTTCAGTGCTTGTATCCAAGTCCTGCATTTCCCTTTCTTTTCACAAAACCAAGGATTCCATTTTAAAAGTAATTTTCATGGAAGATGTTCAGCCAGCCATAGATAGACTTGGGATGCTATTGCCTGGGCGTAGAAGAAATGCTGCGGTTTGACCAAGATGCTGCAGATTTCTACATAAAAAAAGAGGACTTGGCCTGTGTGGTGTTGGAAGCCACTTTACAGGGTTCTGGAGGTCTTAATGGCCTTAAATGTCATGAATTGAAGAAAGATATAGAATGAACATAGTGCTGACAATTAGGGTGTTAGACAAGTCAACAGTACATCTAACAGATCAGAATTCAGAAGACTCAGATGTGGGATGCCTGTTTTCTGAATCCCAAATTGTTTTGCTTGGGCAGCAAGAGCCCAAAGTAGGATTCAGCTCCCCTCACACTGGACATGAAGTTAGGTGTCCACTCTAAGCTGCACAATCAGTTCAGCTCCTTCCATACTCAGCTGGGAGACAGATGTCTCCATGGCTCAGTCAAGGCAATCTCAAACTACATGTTTGAGCTACGTGTGAGGAATCACCATCAGACAAGAGGCCAAGTCAACAGCTTTAATATCTGACTTGTAGGTAGCTAATATCTGCTGGTATAGAGTCACCCAAGGTCTACAGCTTCAGCTCTAGCTGTGGCAGTGACAAGTGCAGCAGAATAATTTCAGGGTGGCAAAGGCAATTGTAGGCTCCAAGACAGCTGCAGGAAACAAGTATTTTTAGCTTTTAAGAAGTATGGGTCCTTTTTCATTCTAAGTTGCACTTTGGATGAAGAACATTATTTTGGAACTGCCAGACCACAGCAATCTGACACCTCAAGTTAGCTAAAAAGCACACTTCTATTTGGGTTTTGGTATGACAGGTTTCAAAATGTATTTCTGTAAAATATTCCTCCAGAGGTATCTATTTCTTTCTATTGATTATAGTAGAAACTTAGATGACAAACACTCAGATGACAACCTCAGACATAGTTCCTTAGCTTCTGGATGTTTCAAATTAGGTGAGATGAGTCCCACCTCAGCTATTCAGTGTAATGCTGTTATGGAGATCTCCAATATAATTAATGAAAAGGACAGGCATGCCCAGAAGGTGATTTAGCTTATCCTAGCACAGACGGATAAAGGGAAGAATGCACAAATATGTAGAAATCTCTCTCTCTCTTTCCTTTTGTAGGAATGCTAGGTGATGTCTAGAATATATTACAAACTTTTAGACTGTTAAAGGTAAATCAGACGAATCACACTCTTCACTTCTCACCTCTGTGCAGAAAAAGTAGATAAACAGTAGTTTTCTACCCCTTCCAGGAGTCAGTTCATAACAAAAGAAATTCTGAATTGCCACAGTGGGGGAGATAGTGAGAAAGATGCAACAGTAGCATAGTTTTTAACCCTGTGTGCATTCTGGGTGCTGTAGATCTCTTTGGTTGGCCCTTGGGAGAAACAAGTGCCTTACATAGAGAAGTGGTCTTGTGATGGATGGTGGTCAGGCACCTGTCCAAGGAAAGGTTAATTAAAAAAAGAAAAACAACCCCAAAAAAACTTTCACAAAAGAAAGTTGCCTTTTGAAACTATTAGGCAACATATGTTGTGTGAACAGGAAGTCACAGTAGAGCAATAATCCTGACAGCTGTGGAGAAACAGGAGTCTGCCGCAGGAACGAATGGCTCGAGACCTGACAAGAATGATGATGGATGCCCCGTTGGTAGTACACAAGGACACAGCAAGAGACGTTTAAATTGGCTGAACCACAGGAACAACTCTGAGTTGGCATCGCAGCCGGACAAATGAGGCCAGTCCTAATGGTGAGAGAAATAGGAGGGGGGAACTGAAGGAAGATGGCAGCAGTGCACCCCTCCTTTCCAAGGACGAGGGCTACATCTCCATCTCACCACGAGGTGGCTGCATTTCCCTGTGAACATTTAAGCCCTGAAAGAAGCTGTAGACCCTGAAGCACCATGAAAATGAGAATGGCAGCGGAGATCTGCAGGATCTGGCCCATCTCATTCAAAACGCCTGAGAAATTCTGAGGTTCTGTGAAAAAAAGTGTGTTCCAAGTCTTGATCAAGTGGTGGTCGTTCAACAGGTCCTCACTAGTCTGCTGAACTGTGGGAACTGCCCATGCGCCTGAATGTAGTTCATGGGACATACAAGGCAACACCACATGACTGAGCTTACAATGAAGAGGATGAACTGAATAATTTTCTGCTTGCTTCTCCTGTGAACTAAGAGTAGGTTTGTGGACTTTTTTCCACAAATTCCACAATTTCCATGAATTGCTGAGGTTCAGCCAATTCATGGGAACTTGTCAAGCCATGGAAACTTGATTGTGAGCCTGGGATGTGTGTCTGGTAAAGAGTTAAATTGTGATACTTTTTCAGATGCTCATATTGGTTATTCATAAACATTTCTATAGCAGGCATTTCAGCCAAATAAGACAACAGTAAAAATGGTACCGTAAGAACCTGACCCATGAAATGGCCAAATTCTTCATTGTCTTGCATATTCTAAGCTCAGTCGGTATCAGCAGGATTGAACAGAAATTTGCTCACAAGTTGTGGAGAAAAGAGTATTTTTTTTTTTCTTATGTAAAATGTGCTGAAAGTAGGATGGATAAGGGCTGTGGAGCGATAAGGATATTTTGGGTACCCTAGATCGAGATAAAATCTTCAGCTCTTTTTGGGTTTTGTCTGATTTATCCTGCCTTCCTGTCACTTCTGTCACAGGAGTTTGCAAGATTTTTGGGACAAAGACTGGATTTTTCTTACTCTTTTCTGTGGTACCATACCCTACGGAACTCCAGTTCCTTATCTGCGTCTATAGACACCACCACTTCGTGTCAAAGTCTGAAAGAAAGTCATTAAAAGTACCTCTTCGACCTGTCTCAGGAAAGATGTCCATTATATTTCATTATGAGATGTCAACATCAAGCTCAACATCCGGTTCTATTGGAAAGAATCTTTTAGAAAGAGAATCCTAAAGGTATCGCAATGCTTCCAAAAATTGAGACCGCTATCATTAAGGAGATTTTTTTCAGTACTATCCTATCACTGGTAAATATGTGCCATTTTTAAACTGATTTGTCTAAGATGGGGTTCCAAAAAATGAGATCTTGATGATTTGCTGCATTTAGAAACCTTTTCCCCTGAAAAGATTATTCCATTTTTGTCCCTGCAAAGATCTAGAGACAATCTGCCAGGCCCACTTTAATCTTATTTGGATAAATTAATGAATTTACATTAGTCTTTTACTGAAAGGGAGATTTTACACTGTTAAATATCCTTTATTGAGTTTTCCTGTGTCTTTTCCAAGTTTCAGCATGCTTCTTAGTCTTTCATGGTATACACTGTGAATAATTAATAATAAAAAAAATATACTATTATAATAAACCAAAACATATTGCACCAGATTGTCCTTCTAGCTGACAGTGGCTTGTTTTAACATTCCTCTGGGCCTGTGTGGTGGTGTTTAAATATCTTTTTGCATAGAAAATACATTTTCTTTCTACTTTCCTGAAGTATCACGCTCAAACCACATATTATTAGATATTTGTCCAAGTGGAATGATCCTTCAAATGTTTCCTGGAAGATGCATTAGTTACCCTGACTGTCTTTCAAAAGTTGAATGAAGGGACCACACTTATGCTACACTTTTGTAGTAGCAGTGAGAAGCACCCATTACTGTGTGATTTGTCTCTAGCTTCTAGTGAACAACCTGCTGTCCGCTGTATATATTGGCAAAAGGCTGTTTAAGCTTCATGTAGAGGCAGGGATTCTTTGGGAAGGGAGAAAAAGAAGCTCTTAGACAAAGGTTTCTACTTCATTCATCCCTCTGAAACTTGGAAAGTTACACTTACACTGAGTTTTACTGAATGTTTTTGACATCTGTGAGCTGTATGTCTTTTTTTCTGGTCATCAAAACTGCAGGTAGCAGAACACAACACCCCTTGGTGTTCTGCACCTATGTGAAACAGTGACATCCCGGCCTTTCCACTGATGAGTTAAGAGCACCTAAAGCCCTACATGCTTGAGCTGTTACCCATCCTTCCTGGAAAATGAGTTGCAGAACACAGATAAATCAGCCCTCCTCCATCAGGCCACAGGGAAGCAAAGGCTGGACCAATCCTCATTTGCCTGTGCCACAGAGCTACTCACCGGCATTGTCTGGCTGCCATGCAAGGCATTGATGGCTGCTTGGGCCTCTGCATGTGAAGAGTATTTCACAAATGCACACCCTGGAAGAAGAAATAGAAGAATATAAGAAAAGTTGCATGGGTACCATGAAAGTCCACCTAGCTGAATATCCTGACCTCAGAACTGGACAATAAAGATGGTTGTGGAGAAAGTATAACAAGTAAATGTGCTCCTGGTTATTCTTTTCCAAAGTCCAGTCATCAGCAGCCTGAGAACCTGTCAAGGCAAAGCTGCATCCAGAATTCCCACACTTTGTGTAATGGGCACTGATGGACACAAACTTAGCAAGTACATTTTGAATCCACTTATGTTTTGACCTCTGCAGGTTCCCATGGCACATTGCTGCACAATTTCACCACTTAGTGTGTGAAAATGAGTTTTATTTGTATTGGACTTAATGCTGAACGCTTCTCCCTCTGGGGTTGTGAGAAACAGTAAGGAAGTGTAGAAAAGTTATCAGAAAGTTAAACATACTTGTTGCAAGCAAACACAAGCCAAATATACAGAAGGTATTCAGGTTACTCCAGACCCACAAGGTACCTTATCACACCACTGTCTGGTAAAGCTCCAAGCAGCTTTCATCTGACATAGTGTAAGAGCTTCTAATGGAGAAAGAGGGATGGGAGAGATCTGTATATGATGATTATCAGCTCAGCAGCACCAAAATTTGGATCTTAGTCTTTCATAGCTGCAGAGCCAGTGTTTGTATAGGTGCTCTCCTCTGGACATTAGAGAAACGTAGGCAGTGCATCCCGAGCCTGCATTGCCATGTGAGGACTTTCATACCAAACTCTTACATAAGGTTTTAGGGCAGAAAGATGCTTTTAGGAGTACATACCAGTGTGCAGAAATGATCAACACTTCAAAGGGTCACATGCACCACTGGAGCGGGGGAAAGTATTGCTAACACTCTTAGCTACAAGCAAACTGACTCAGAGAGAGGAAGAGTAATTTCCATATGCTAAGGCGGTTTTTGGAACAGATTGGGAGAGATCTGAGAAGTTCTGGCTTCCATCCCCTTCTATTACTACTAAAGACGTTTGAGCTTTTAATCAATTTGCAAAGCCCTATCTGTTTCCCTGAAGGGGTGCAGATCACTGCACAGGGAGTGCCAGTCCTAACAATGGGACAGCTCTCCTTTATCCCCTTTGCAGACTCTTTAGAAGGTCCACACACCCTCATGGAACCATACAGTGCATGGTAAAAGCTAAAGCATTAGAACACCCCACTTGCAAACATGAAGAATGAACTCCAAAGGTCCCCAACATCATCACTGCAGGCTCATAGAAGTGAGATTGAAAAAAAGCAGTGATCACCCCTTCTAAAAATAAGCAGACATAGGAAATTAGCTTACAGTTAGGAGCCCTTCACGTTGCATTACTCTCTCAGCACTGTGCTCAGACTGCATTTCAGGAAAAGCACAATGATTGTTGCTAATAGTTGGATCTAATTTATAAGGAGCTGAGAGGAGACAATCATGAGAAAATGAGATAGATAAACTTCAGCTGGAAACAATAGGGATCAATTATGACATAATCGCAGCCCAGCATTCCCGGTCTCCTGAGATACTGTGCCTTCCTCTTCATTAATCAGAGATAATCCAGAATTAGGGTGTTTAATTATTTGCAGAGATTCTTTTGTACTTTCTGCGTCTAAAAAGAAGATGCTGATTAGCAAATATACAAAAGCTTTCCAGCTCCAGTCACCCATTGCATTTAGAGCAGGATTTTTGGCTGCAGTGTTGCTGTCATACTGAAGGCTTCACTCTCTTCAGGTGAAATTCATCCCTGTGCTGAGGAACCTGACAGATGAGTGGAGCTGGATAAAGGTGGGAATAAAAGGAGTAGAAGGCATTTATCTTCTTTAATGGCCAAGATGCTAATGATCTCCCTCCTACTGCTTCCTCTTATTGCTTCCAGTAGGTTTTGAGGTAGCTGCACAAAGGAAAATTCAGCTTTTACTGGTGAATGGTGGCAAGTTAATAACAGAGATCCCAACCTTTTTTGTCCTTTTGTTTGTGTGTTCAGTGTGATGGCTTCTGTACACAACACCAAATGTGCACAGAATCTCCTTCCTTCCCACTGACTACAGGACTCATGAGCCATGGGACATGAAGCATGCCATTCTCCTCAGAAAAATGGTGTCTCTTTTTCAGGAGCATCTCTGATTTTTGAAGGGGTTTTGACACACAGATATATAACCTGTGCGGAACAGGGACATAGATGTGCTTAAGTTTTTTTTGTTTCCTTACTTCCAGATTATAGAGCTGGAAGGGCTGTTCTTACTGTCTTGTCAGCTTGGACGAGACTGCAGAGTCAGGGCCTAAGGTTATAATTGCAGAGGGTGTTAAGACTCCTCTTGTGGAACTTATGGGAAAATCTTTGCTTTCTGAGTTACTGAACAAGACAGCTGCTGAATAGAGGGAAAAAAAGGGTGGTTGAGGGAAGATGCTATCCAGATAGCAGCAATGCAGTCCCTGCAGGTCCTGCTGGCTTGCTGTACTGGGTCCACTTCAGCTTCCCCACCTGAGGACTCCTTCACAGAATGGTTGGGTGGGATTGAGATTTCTCTCTGGCACTTAGACAGTCTGCTTAGATATTAATTTAGGTAGAATTTAAGCCTTATGGGCTTTACCCAAAATAAGTAGCTCACAAGCCATGTGTGTCACATATTGGTTTCTAGCAGATGGAAAACATTACAGACTGGGAATAACTTTGTGGGAGTTGTGGCTTGCCCGACTGTCTTCTAAGATAAGGGCACTAGCCTTAAGTTTTCTGTTGGATTGACTGTTCCGTGTGCGTGTGTGCGTGTATGTAACTCTGTGTGTGTAAATTAGGAGCTTCACATTCTCAGTAAATAGCACCAGCAAATGGAAGCTGGTAATATTAACTCTGTCAAGGCTCGGTATTGATCCTGAACAGCTCGGTGAAATGCAAGCCTGAGACTGCAGCCCGCTAGCACTAATAATTAAACTGGTTAGCAATATGGAGCTGCCACTCAGATTCAGACTTGTAATGAAATCGTTTAAGAAAAAGATAAAAAAAGATAGAGCAAGTATGAATACAACTCTGTGGGTTGGATTTACTTTGAAATCTGTTTCATACAGATCTTAGACTTTATTGCCTTTATTATTACTCTGTTTAACTCCTTTGTCATTTGATTTTGTTCCATACAATTCTAAGCAGAGGCAGACAGATATACTTTTTTTGCTCTTCTCCAATTTGCTGATTTGTTCAGTGAATGAAGTGTTTAACTGCCTGCCGTTATGATGGTTGGAGGTCTTCTATTCCAACCTAGCTTACCGCTTTCCAATGGGGAAGCCCCTGTCTTTGGGTCTCATGGGAACTAAAGTAGATATTTAATTGAAGGAAGGTGCCCATGGTTTATTTTTAGCCATTTATATCAGGAAGGCTGAGCTTTACTGGTGTATATCAAACAGCTGCCCTGTAATGTTGGTGTGAAGTCTTTTTTGTCCGCCAATGATTTTATGGAACAGCAATACCATTTTCCAGTGTATCACTGTGATTTGGATTTTTTGCCTTCCCGTTGCAAAAATATGCTGGCTGATGTTGTCACATGTCAAAATATCCATTGAGATATGAACTGCACTGGCAGAACTGGTCTCTTCTCTGGTGCTGCACATTCTAACACAGCTTATGATATATTATATGCAGATCAATATTTAATGGACACATTACACTGTCAAGAGGAAAGGGCTTCCTATTCAAATTGAAGTTACTTTGTCTAGAGACTGACGGGGGAAAAAATGACCCTCCTATTCAAGAGAGAAGCCTCATTCTTACACTTTGGCTCTAGCAGAGAATCCTTTGTGCTCTCCAGATAGCAAGTGATGCCAAAAAGTTGAAGGAGGTAAGGTACCTGGTTTTACAATGAAGAATTTGCGTGTTTCACATGGTAAATGTTTGCTGGGTGTAATATTTAAATAGGCACCCATACCTTTGCAATTGTGATCACCGGTTAGCATGTGTCTATGCAAAGACCAAGAAAAGAAGGGGGAACATCTGGGGCCAATGGGTGAGAAATAAGCAGATGTAATGGTTGAGCCATTGAGTCAATATGTAAAATATCAACCCTGGCTTTGTTTAAAGACAGAGCTGCCCTGTTCAACAGGGTGGGGAGAGCACATCTTGAATGAAGGTAATGGTGTTGTGTTCAGAGTATAAGCTCTGTCCTGAGAGCAAATAATAGCCATCAGTTCACACATGGCAAGACATAGCTAGTAAGGAGCATGTATTTTTAAGTGCAATCAGTTTTTAACTCTCACACAAAAGCAGACAGCAACCAGCAAAGTAATGGCCTCCCTTGGCATATGTGACCATTCCTAACATAAGAGATGATTCCTGGCAGCTAGACAGTGACTTTGTCACACCAGAAAATGATATATACCCTGAAAGTGGGTCAAGCTTGACACAAGCCATCACCTTACCTTTGCTGTTGCCATCGGGTCCCCGAAGGATCGTGCACTCCTCGATGTTGCCAAACGCCTCGAATAGCCTGCGCACATCATCTTCTGACTGCTGCTTATTGAGCATGCCCACAAAGAGTTTTCTATCTTCTGGAACAAAATAAAGAGATGCTTACCATATTTCAGGAGGGATGTGAAAGCCAAGATGGCTCAGTATCACATGCAAAACAAATGGTGATTTCATTGAGGTGACATGTTTAAGAAGCTGCTAGTCTTTTCAGGTGGCTGGCTCAAAAACCTTAATAGCATTTGACTTTCAATGAATACCTGAAAATAATTTGGCAATTTAAAAAAAACCAAACAAATAAACCCCTGAAAGATTTACTTATATATAAAATCTCTAACTGCTTCTCAAAATCAAGGCACCGAAGTCTTCCAAATCAGCTTTTTCTGATCAATTTTTGCAGTTAGCTTGCAGTAACTGAAATGACAACATTGCTCAGACTGCGATCCAAGAGGAATGTGGATAAAGATAGCATATAGGAATAAAGTCCAAATGAAAAATAACATAAGTTAGTAGCCCTCGCAATACTAAATAAGTTGCAGAAAAAAAAAAAAGGCAGATTTAACATAAGCTGTTTATAATCGGGGTATAAATCAGGAAGCCACAGCCTGTAAATGGAGATTTGTCATTCATACCCACTCACAGACATATACATACGAGTTTGGATGAGGTTTTTAGTATATTTTTTAACTTATTTGAAAAAAGTGAAAAGTTTTTGAAACATAAAATAAACTTATATGATTGCTAATATCTGAGATAGCTCAGGCAGGTGGTATTTCATGTCAAAACAAGACATGGTCTGCTAGTAGATAGATAATTGTATTTTGAATGAGGAAGCTCGACGTGACCCAGCTGTGTGCGCTTGCATCCCAGAAAGCCAACTGTATGCTGGGCTGCATCAAAGAGTGTGACCAGCATGTCGAGGGAAGTGATTCTGCCCTTCTACTCTATTCTCATGATACCCTACTTGGAGTGCTGTGTGAAGTTCTGCTGTCCTCAACACAAGAGGGATGTGGAGCTGTTGGAGCAAGACCAGAGGAGGCCATGGGGATGCTCTTAGGGCTGGAGCAGTCCTGCTCTGAAGACAGGCTGAGAGGCTTGGGCTGGGCAGCCTGGAGAAGAGAAGGCTCCTTAAGGGGAGACCTTAGACTTAGTTTCTAGTGCCTAAAGGGGCTACAAAAAGCCTGGAAAGGGACTTTTGACAAAGGCCAGTAGGGACAGGACAAGAGGAAATGGGTTTACCCTGACAGAGGGGAGATTGAGATGAGCTCTTAGGCAGAAGCTCTTCCCTGTGAGGGTGCTGAGGCTCTGGCACAGGGCGCTCAGAGAAGATGTGGCTGCCCCATCCCTGGCAGTGTTCAAGGCCAGGTTGGATACAGGGGCTTGGAGCAAGCTGCTCTAGTGGAAGGTGTCCCTGCCTGTGGCAGGGGGCTGGAACTGGATGAACTTTAAGGTCTCTTCCAAACCAAACCACTCTCTGGTTCTATGACTTATACTTGGGCTTACACCAATATGGGGATCTTCAGTCCAGAATGAAATACATTAAGAAAATGTTGGTGAAAACAGACTAAACTCATGATTACTGAGCTGGTAGAGCTGGTAGAAAGATTTCAGAAGGCACTGAGTGATGCGTTTATATTAGGTTTATGTTCAGAGACTAGTACCATTACAGCAAAAAAAAAAAAAGAAATTTACGTAGGTTACATCGTGTATATAAACAGGCCATTTGCACATGATTCGTAAATGTCGTATTTATCATTCATTAAACACTATGTAAATGTGTGAACCAAGATTTTTTTTTTCAGCTTACAGAGCAGATGTAACCAATTTGAATAAATACATGTAAATAAATAAATAGTTTGATTTTAGAAAAAATATTTATTTTTAATGCTCACGTCACACTAAAGCTTAACAAAATATTGGTTTGCAACAAACCTTTCCTGGCTGACTAATTGGGTGATTTATGTCACTTTTGTTCCCTGAGAAATCATTCATGTAAACAATCTGTCCTGATTCAACTAATGTTTGATCAAAATTCCCCTGTCCATGATGCACCTGTAAATTGGAAATTACTTTATAGCCTTGGATGAGGATAATTTTTCATGTAGTGGATACTGAGTGAGGATATTAGGAGTTTTCAATCCTGCAGCCAAGTTATCTACATGAACTTAAAGTTTACTGCCCACAGAAAATGGTTATGTTGCCTTCATTCTGGCTGCTGAAATGGTAGGAAAAATAGGTTGAGGAGGATACATGTGCATTTTGATAGGGGAAAAAACAAGAATAGCCTTGTGATAGACATGTTAAAGGAAGAAATATGCCTACTTTATGCTGGAATTGATTAAGGAAAGGGACTTTCTGAGTTCCTTGCTCACAACACGAAGTTCAGAATTTAATGATGCACAAAGCACTAACTGACACTGTGTACATTATGCCCTCTCAAAAGAAGCTGCTCTGGATAGCTAAAAGGTTTGTTTCCTTGATGGCCAAACTGACCTTCAAAAGAGACTCTCAGAGGTGAGGTACAAGCCTTAGAGAAGCAGCTACTGAAACTGAGGGTGGTGACACAGTGTCTTTCAGTGTAGGCTTAGACAAAGCCTTGGACAAAGAGTTCAGTCCAAGCTCCAGTGGTTGTCCACACATTGGAGGAAAACCCACCCAGTAAATGAGACCAGCTGTTCTGGAAAAATGGGAGGTATTTTAGGAATGAGGTAGAGCAGTGGGAACAAACTAGGAACACCAGCAGCAAAAGGTTTTGCCTAGAAAGATTGTGTCTAGTAAATACTTCCAGCACAGAGGAAGCTGTTATACTGTACTTCATACAGTTTTCCCTGTTTCAAATAAGCTGCATCAGCAAAAGCACTCCTATAGCTGTGTAACTGTATTTTCACCAGTATTTTTTGCTAATATAAATGTATCATTAAAAAAAAATCACATCCCTCCTCTGTCAGCAAAACTCTCTAGTGTGGAACTGTCCTGAAACTGCCTTGTCTGGTTTTGTTTATGCAAAGCTACAACCACGTGTTTTAGGAATCTCTTCATTTTACTTTCTATTTTACTTATTTTATTTTAGTTTTTTTATCCCCCTCTTATACATCTCTGCAGGACACTGGGAGTGATGATGCCTTTCTACAGCGCTGTCGGGCAGTAGATGTGGTTCTTTGTTGAGCTGCCTACAAGATGGCCATCAGACCACCAGGAACAGGCTCTACCCATGGTGAGGATCACCTTTGCCAGGAGCTGCTGGTCCAGCTGCAATAAGGGAGGGAGCATGAAGAGCGGCCCCACGGCTAGCCAGAGCTCAGCACTGCCTGGACATCACTTCCAGCCCCATCTCCAGCACCCTGTTTGTCTCCTGAAAACCCATGCCTTGGGCTGTCAGGGGAATCGTTTGTCACATCTGCCATCTGAGAAATCTGCACAATCACACACTCAGCTGATAATAAATGAGTCAGTTTAAGAAGCTTTTTTGTCTCTGAGAGCTGCTTCTAACAAAGCGCTGCAGTTACCTTCCACATCCCTGCCCTGCCAGGGAGCTCAGCAGCGTGTTTTAACAATGCTCCTCACACATCTCGGGTGGGAAGATAGAGGCAAGTATCCAGCAGACTGGACCTTTCAGCACACTCCAGGTCTTGGCTAATGAGTTTATTCTCTAATGGACTTATATAAACCTTTTACACCCTGACTGCTTCCAAACACTGCTCTTCCAGGTCCCAAGTAAAAAGGTGACATATCATGGACTAGGTCAACTACTCCTACTTTGTAAGGATGTCTGAACAAGGCCATGAGATGATAGAATAAAATGATGACAGGATGCACTGGTGTCAGCAGCAGCCTGAGCAGTGCCACTGCCCTGCAGTGTGGAGGCTGAGTGTGGTGTCTATCTAAACCTCTGCTCCATTTTTGTTTTCCCCACGTGGTTATCAGTCTTTCCCCACAACCTGAGTCCATCATGCCTGCTTGGCCCATGGAAACAAGCATGGGTGGCTATTTCTCTGTGCTGTGGCACCCAGGAAAGCCGAGGAGGCTTTTGCTGGTGCAGCACAAGGCCCTCACCATGAGTACACTGAGGCACTCCAATAATATTGAGAACTAAGTTCATCCCAAGTCTACCCCATTTTTCCATAAGCTACAGCAACAACAGGAGCCAGTACCTCCTTATTCCTCCTAGGAGGGCAGGTAAATAAAGAAAGGCCACCACAATGGCATATGAGTTCCTAGATGTCACCCCTTGGTGATATTTCCAATACCCCCATGAAACCAAGCTTCCCTCTTCTTGACCAGCACGGGGGGTTTGTACCCATAGGAAAAGCTGGCTGCAAGGCACAGTGGTAAGAAATGTAACTTGTCAGATAAATATACAGCATCTATAAATCTCCCCGCCTGTGTTTATACAAAGCCTCGGCACCTTCCCCAGCGCAAACAGGGGTTAAATTATTCCCTGTTCTATTTGTATTTAAATGTTATGTTTCTATGATAAGTGTAAGGCAGAGGTGTCAGATGGGCCCAGGCGAAGGAGACGGAATGCATGAAAGGTGAAATAATAGAGCACTGCAAACCAAGTGCTGAGAGGAGATGGGAAGGGGGGACATGGGAGTGAGGGGGAGACGGGGGAGGACGGGCACTAATTAAAGAGACAGAAGGGACAATGAGATGCAGGATGTTTGACCCTCTGCTGAGCAAGAGGACAAGAACAAGAATCACAGCAATTGTGAAGGGAATGGGGGAAAATTAGGGTCACTCACAGAGAGACATGACACAGGTTTGTGTTTATCCAGATAGCTCTCGCTAATGTATGTGTGTGCACGGGGGTACATTTAGATAAGAGTATATAAATACACTTGTGTTCTCGTATTCCTCATGCAAAACAAAGAGGTTGAATCCTTGTATCAGGAAAACATAAGTCGGCTTTACCATCTAGAACATCACATCCAAGGCCTTGGAAATAAAGAGGGACAGATCTATCACCTTCATGGCCCAGGCTAATCAGGAGGGCAAACCAGAAGATCGCTATGGTCTCTTCTAGCCATGAAACCCCTTATTCTAAAGCCAATGAGTTTCTCTATTTCATTCCAAGTTCATTGCC